ACTACAAAATCCTATATTCTTGTATATTTATTAAACTAATATTTCAAATAACTAACCCAGGAAAGAATCACACATGTATTAAAAAATATTTCAATGAATTATGAAAATGGTTTATAAATTTTTAATTTTAATTTATTTTAATAATTTTTTAATTTATTATAAAAAGTATATGTAAATTTATTACAGAAAATATTATTTTAAAATTATTAACCCTGACAAAAATGTGAACGTTTGCATGAATAGTACATGGTCCACTGCAACAAAAGTCAATAATTTACGCTTGTGGTTCCCACAAAGTACAGAAATCAGATAAACAATGGACTTGTCATATAAACTCAATATGGTTCACGGAACCTATGAAATTTATCAAAATTTAAAATACATTAGCTTAATTTAATTATAATTTTTTTTAATTTGATATATGAATTATATTAGTTTTTGTTTTGTTTTTTTTAAGTTAATTAAGTTTTAAAAAATTTTAAAGTATTTTTTCGTCAAATTTATTCTACCTAAAAACTTAAATTTTTATTTTGTACTATAAATTTTATTAAATTAAATTAATTAAGTTATTTCAGACCTTTTTTTTTTCTCAAAACACAATCATTTAACAATTAAATTTCGGTTAACATATGAAAAATTTAAAATTTTCTTCTACAACTTCTAATCTAACGTTTTAAAAAAGTCATCAAATCGTGTAAAAGTCTTACACAATTTCATATTTTTGAATATTTAAAATTATTTTATATCATAAATATCTTAAATATTTAGATAAAATATGATTAAATTTTTTTAAGTAAAACAAAATCAATGAAAGAACAAAATTTGTACATTTTAAAAAGTAGAGATAATTAATTAATTGAAAAAAATGTGACCAAAATTGTGCATATACTAATAATTAAACCTTTTAAACCGGCGAAAGATATTTTTGACATTTCAACCCACCAAATTACAAGAGAACCCACCAAAAGATACTTTTAACACAAAAAAATATAAGGTTGCCAACTACTTATCTGTAATCCAATAATACAGAGGGATAATGTTGCATTTTATAGCTGCTTTCAAGATATTGATTACACACATGCTTGCTTATAAATAGACCCAACTAATGTGAGTTTCCATGCCCCAAACCCAAATATACCTTTGGTTAGTGAGTAAAAATAATGGAATCCACAATGAAGAACATGCTGCTAAAGTGCTACAAGCTCAAAGTCACATATGGAATCACATTTTTAGCTTCATAAACTCCATGTCCCTTAAATGTGTAGTTGACTTAGGAATACCAGATGTCATACACAACTATGGCCAACCCATGCCACTCTCAAACCTTATTGCTTCACTACCAATCCACCCATCAAAAACCCATTGCATCTATCGTTTAATGCGAATCTTGAGCCATTCTGGCTTCTTTTCTCAAAAGAATGTGACTGAGAATGAGCTAGAAGTGGAGTATATGTTAACTGACACATCCACGCTATTGCTTAAGAACCCATCCAATGAGTGCGACCCCTTTTTTGCATGCCATGCTTGATCCAATTATGACAAAGCCATGGGATCAATTTTCTACTTGGTGCAAAAATGGTGATCCTACACTGTTTGAAACAACACACGGGATGTTGTTTTGGGATTATACTGGCCGTGAACCGAAATTTAATCACTTATTTAATAATGCCATGGCTAGTGACGCTAGATTGGTCACTAGTTTGATGATTGAGAAGTGCAAATGGGTGTTCAACGGATTGGAGTCATTCGTTGATGTTGGGGGTGGAACAGGAACTATGGCAAAGGCCATTGCCAAATCATTCCCTCATTTGGATTGCACTGTTTTTGATCTCCCACATGTTGTTGCTGGCTTGCAAGGAACTCAGAACCTAAGATATGTTGGAGGGGACATGTTCAAGGCAATTCCCTCAACTGACGCCATTTTGTTGAAGGTAAAAAATATTATCATCACAATCCGTAGTGTTTCCTCACCTTCAACATAAGGGTTTATCTAAGTTAATTTATGAGATACACAATTTAAGAGTTAATTTAAGGGTTTTTGTTAGAGCAAATAATAAGTAATTAATAATAATAAAATTTTTATTAACAAAATAAGTATTTATTATAGTTTGATAACTTTAATATAATTAATGTGTATTTTTTTAATGAAGTTTTATTTATAAAAATAAAATAAAAATATAAGTTTCAACACAATATTTTAACTTCTTTAATTAGTCCACTTAAAATAGAATTATTCACCAAATCCTCAACATTAATCTTACTTGGCAGACAGAGATAGAGAAAGAATGAAAAAGCAAATTAATGACATTAATATTTTCAATAATATTCTTTTATAAAAATAATATATTTTATTAAATTTTAAAATTGCATGACAAAGCAGTGGATATTGCACGACTGGAGTGATGATGAATGCATGAGCATACTGAAAAAGTGTAAGGAAGCAATCACGAGGAAAGGCAAATTTGGGAAGGTGATTATCTTAGAGATGGTGATGGATAATGAGAAGAGAGATGATGAATCAATGGAAACACAACTCTTCTTTGATATGTTGATGATGGTTCTGGTTACCGGAAAAGAGAGAAATAAGAAAGAATGGATCAACTTGATTACCTGTGCTGGTTTCAGTGACTACAAGATAACTCCAGTTTTGGGCTTAAGGTCTCTCATTGAGATCTATCCTTAGCAACTCTTTGCCTAATGCTGGCATCAATCGAAAAATGAACGAGAAAAGGCCAAACTAGCACTCCCTAAGTTTAATATGTAATTATAACTAATTGCAAACTGGACTCATTACCTTGTGTGTTGTTTCTTTTGTTTGAAAGTTTGTATGTTATGTTTTTTTTTCATGGATAAAATGAAATACCAGTAAAAGGAGCACAATTAAAGAGTGTCCCAGAGGCCATCTAGAAAATAAAGTGTCAGATGGGGTTCAAGCTAGAATCCAGACACATTAAGGGTGTATTTGGAAATGAGTTTAGAAGGAGAAGGAAGAAAAGAATAAATAATTTTTAAACTTAAAAGAGATATAATATTTATAAAAATAATAAAATATTAACACATTATTTTTATATTAACTTATCACTTTTTATTTCAACAAATAATGAAATTAAAGAATATTTGTTAGAAATGAAAATTTTTACATCTTTTTTTTAACAGAAAACTTAACTCTCAAATATATTTTTAAACAAATATTTTTTATTATTTCTTTTAATTTTTCAGTACTTCTAACTAGACACATTAAATCAGAAAACTTTGATAATTTGACATTTATGTACACCATTTTAAAAATATCTTTAAAAATGTGTCTTATTTAAATTTTAAATTTGATGAAAATAAGACGTGTCTAAAATTAGTCACTTTTGATATAATTATAGTTATTTAATTGATTGAAAATCTTATTGTAATTTTTAAAAAATTTACTATGTATTTATTGATATTCAAACTAAAAATTGATCATGTAAATAAAAGTAATAATTAATTTGAATAAATGAATATTAGCATTATATGTTTATTGAATGCAAATAAATATATAACAAATGATCATTGACAATTAAAAAAAAAAGAAGATAGTATTAACGATTGTAAAGATGAAATTAAATGTCTAAACTTTTTATTATTGAACTCTTATTTATAATCGATGACATGCATTTTTGGAATTCAGAATTCTCTAGGCTTGTCTGTTTTTGTTTTAATTTTTATTTTTAAAAAATATATTTCAAATAAATTTAAAAAATTATTCTTAAGAAGAAAATAAAATAAAACTTCTTTATTAGTTTAATTTTTAAAACTGTTTTTAAAATGAGAAAAAAAAAACTTAAGCTAAAAGGGACTATATTTGTTTTTTAGTTTTAAAAACTGATAAATAATTTTTAGGAAAATAGTTTTTAAAAACTTGATTGACAAATAATTTTTTTTGCTATTTTAAAAAAACACTATATTTAAAATGAGAAACAAACATGCTCTTTTTTTTTTGTTGTTGTAATTTTAGACATTATCTTTTGCAATATAAGACAATATGATTGATCACCAACGTTCTATTTTTAAAAGACTTGACGATCTAAATAATTTTACTCTTACAACATTTTTAATAATAATATTTATAATTAAGAGAAATAAAAAAGAAAAAAAATATGAAATGAATGATACAATGGAGAGAAATAAATAGAAAAAATTTCTGAATAAATTTGTAAAAGAAATTTTATATAAATAATATAATTTTTTTTGTAATTTCATCTGCAACTCAAATTTTTATTTATCCTTAAATATTTTTTTGTTTCTACATTTCTTTTAATATGCAGTGAGGATATAATTAATTAAAAAATTCCATATGTTCAATTTTTATACCAAATATTAATTTTGATCGTATCACATTAATAAAAGGATAAAAAATATCAAGAGTTATAACCAATAATAATTTTAAGAAGGAAAATCCAACTTTTACGAAAATATAAGACAAAAAATATATTTAAGCCTTTTTATTTGTGTTTGTATTTTTCTTTGTAAAATGCATATTTTCTCTTTCTCTAACTCTTTTAGGAAAATCTAGCCTAAAACAAAACTACTTACACTGAAACTCAAGAAAATTACTTTATCTTAAGAGGAATAACGAATGCACAAAAAAGTCTTGCCCAACCCTCATAAATTAAAATGCAATTACGTTTATGAAATAGGACACGATCCACCGTAACAAACGTCGATAATTTGTGTTTGTCCCACGAAGCACAGGCAGAGAAACACTGTACTTTACTCTGTGTCAGAAAAACTCAATCTGGTTCACAATAACTATACAATTTATCAAAATTAAAAATATATTCATTTCGGTAACTTCTACAAGATATTTTTGCCACATTAAAGAGTGCACAGTGTGGCTACTTATCCGCAATCCAATGAAGAGATAACAATACAATCTTGAACTAGTTTCAAGAAATTGATTATATCAGCTTATAAATAGACTCAAATAATGCGAGGTTCCATACCTCAAATCTAGCAAGTAGTTCAGTATGGAATCCCACGATGAAGATCATGCCACCAAAGTGATTCAAGCTCAAACCCACATATTGAATCACATTTTTAGCTTCATAAACTCCATGTCCCTTAAATGTGTAGTTGACTTAGGCATACCAGATATCATACACAACTATGGCCAACCCATGTCACTCTCAAACCTTATTGCTTCACTACCAATCCATCCATCCAAAACCCAATCCATCTATCGTTTGATGCGAATCTTGATCCATTCTGGCTTCTTCTCTCAAAAAAATGTCACTGAGAATGAGCTAGAAGTAGAGTATGTGTTAACTGATGCATCTATGCTATTGCTCAAGAACCATCCAATGAGTGTGACTCCTATGTTGCATGCCATGCTTGATCCCATTTTGACAAAGCCATGGAATCAATTTTCAACTTGGTTCAAAAATGGTGATCCTACACCGTTTGAAACAACACACGGGATTTTGTTTTGGGATTATGCTAACCGTGAACCCAAATTTAATCACTTGTTCAATAATGCCATGACATGTGATGCTCGATTGGTGACTAGTATGGTGATTGAGAAGTGCAAATGGGTGTTCGCGGGATTGGAGTCATTGGTTGATGTTGGGGGAGGCACAGGAACTATGGCAAAGGCCATTGCCAAATCATTCCCACAGTTAGAATGCATTGTATTTGATCTCCCACATGTTGTTGCTGGCTTGCAAGAAACTGAGAACTTAAGATATGTTGGAGGAGACATGTTCAAGGAAATTCCTCCAACTGACGCCATTTTGTTGAAGGTAAGATATTATCGCAATCCATTTATAATATTATTTTTCCTCACCTCCCTCGTAGATCTTGCTTAATTGGCATTGTCAAAAAGGACTGCATCATCATTATCAATTAACGTAGTAATATCTCGCTATATATATATACACACACAGTGAGAGTTACAGGCATGTAAATAGATAGCGAAATAGTTCTTACCTTAAAAATATAAGAATTATTAATCTGGATCTTACAAGTGCACGTAGATGACTAAGATTAAATGTTAGTTCTTAAAAATATAATTTTAGTCTTTTTAATCATATAAATAACATATAATAGTGCATATTTAGGGATGTCGGTGGGGCGGGTACTAGTTACCCATCACCCGTCTGCAGTTTGATTTATCATCTAATTTTTTAACTAGATCCAAAAACACCTATATGAAATTAATAAAAATATTATAATATTTTAACAAAATACAATTAATCAGTTGATTCAAGTGATTCATATTTAATTTTCCTTAAACTAAGTCTTTGGTTTCAACTATGTGTATATAAAAAGGTATTTATTAAGAAAAGGTATCCTTACCAGTTTAGATGTGTGAAATATGTATGCCTTTTCTAACTAATTTAATTTTAACTCATACGGGTTATGGGTTAGAACAAAAAGTCCATGAGTCAAAGGGTCCACTATATGGAAAAATTCATAGAGTTAAGTGGAACTAACAACTATATTTAAAAATATTATTATAATCTATTAAAAATATTTATTTTATATAACATATTTTTTATTATAAGCTTATAAATAAATAAATTATTTTAAAATATATGAAAAATAATTATTTGTATAGTATTAAATATTTATAATAAATTATTGTTATTAAATAAAATATAACAATTTATTATCTAATTAAGTTACATATTTATCTAATTTTTGTCTGTGTTATTAATAATTTTTAAATCATAGTAACATTTTTCATTCATATAATTTTATTTGAGTATTAACTATAAATTTTTTCACATTTTAATATTTTTATTTATTACTTTTATAAAATTATCTAAAGATCACATATTTAATAAATATTTTTAAAGTCACAATAGAAACATAAAAATTGACAATAAATTTTTTAACTTAAATTATTTATCATTAAAATACTCAAAATAATTTATTTAAATAAAATTTACTGTGTTAAAAAAATATAATACTGTTATTATAAAAATCATAGATATGTGATATTTAATATTAAAAAATTCATTAGAAAAATAACTTATAAACTTAGTAAAAATTAATAAATGTTTTCAAATTTAAATTTGACTCTTAATTTGATATAATTAATTTTTAAAGTGAAACAACTTGATTTAATAGAATTGATAGATTTTTTTATTTTATATCATATATTTTTATATTTAAAATATAATTTTTAAATAATTTTAAATAAAATTATTTAATAAAAATAATAAATAAACACATATCTTTTACTAAAAAAATAATATAATATTTATTAATTATTCTCTAAAAAGGTATTTATTTATTTATAATTATAAAATTATTTTAGAAATAATATATGTTCTATAAATATTTTTAAAGCCACACTAAAGACATAAAATTAACAACAAAAAATAATATTAGCTAAATTTATTAAGTCATTTGTTATCAAAATGCTTGAAATTATTTATTTAAAAAAAATTAATATGTTAAAAAAAAAAAACAACAACAAATGCAACACTAGTATCATGAAAAATTTAGATATATAATATTTAATACTAAAAAATTCATAAATATAGAAAAGTAACTTGTGAATTTATAAAAAAATTAATAAAATATTTATAAATTTAAATTTTGGCTCCTATAATTTGATAAAATAATTATTTTAAAAATATATTTTATATTTAAAATATAAATTTTAAATGAAATAATTTAATAAAAATAATAAATAAAATACATGTATCTTCTACTAAAAAAATAGTATAATATTTATTAATTATTTTATAAAAAAAATAGACTAACTTATCTCTAACCCTATCCTTTGTACACCATTTAGTATATATATATATATACGAGCTCAGGAACAAAGTTAGCTTATTAGTATAGAGCTTAAAAATTTTGGGTGTACAATGAATTATGTAGGGTGGGATGTAAATCTAGTGCTATATTAACAGCTCTACTTACCATGATGTGAATATTTCGCTTATAAAAAAAAATTGTGACTTTACAAAATTATATAACTAATCATTTAATAATCAACTAACAAAATCGTTAAATAGCTGACATGTGTGCGACACTAATTGGTCCTGTAACACGAAGTTACATAGGGGCTAATTAAGCTGCTTATTCGATTGGTAAATCTTGGCTCATTCTAGCTTGTACTTCAGACTTTTAAATCTCTTGGGCTTTATATTAGTATTAACAACATTTCACGATGTGCCGATTCTACCAACAGTTAAATCAATTCTTACTTTCTTTTTGACGATTCCGATCACCGTTATTTTGAATGGCAAAGCAGTGGATATTACATGATTGGAACGATGATGAATGCATGAACATACTAAAGAAGTGTAAGGAGGCAATCACTAGGAAAGGCAAAGGAGGGAAGGTGATTATCATAGACATAGTGATGGATACTGAGAAGAGTGATAATGAATCAGTGGAAACACAACTCATGTTGGATATGCTGATGATGGTTTTGGTCACTGGAAAAGAGAGAAATAAGAAAGAATGGGTCAAGTTGATTACTTCAGCTGGTTTCAGTGACTATAAGATAACTCCTGTTTTGGGCTTAAGGTCCCTCATTGAGATCTATCCTTAATTAGTATAATTAATTAACTCCTTGCCTAATGCTATCATCTACTGAAAATTTAATGCGAAATTAAGGGTTAATTAGGTAGCACTCTGTATCATTCATATGTACAATGTTTGGGCTGTAATTTATAATCCGTTTCAATATGTAATAATAACAAAGTCCAAAGAGGACTCGTGCGTTGTTGGAAAATCTATATATTTATCATCAATTAATTTGGAAACACATTTAATTCTTATTGTTAATATATATAAAGTTGCGTTAGTTGAGTAAAGTTTTTTACTTTTCCATATTTTTTTTTCATAAAAAATTAAAAGAAAACTTTTTATATTTGGATTTTTAACTAAACAAAATGGTTTATTAAATACGAAAATTATTACAATTTGGCATATATATAGACCGTTTAATTAATTTTTTACGTTCACCTAATGTCAACGGTTTCTCTTATTTGTGTTTAATGCTCATATTGTAACATATGTGGGGGTGAATTCCATTAGGATACGGAGTGGGAGGGATACATGATCATATTTATTATTTTAAAAAATATATAATCACATTAAACTTTAATCTTTCACAAATTAGTGTTATAAATTTGTTTTTTTTTTATTTAATCAATGTTTATTTTAAACATTTTAAAACTATTTTTTAAAACTCTTACAAATTTATGAAAATAAATTATTATTTTTTAAATAAATAAAATCAAGCATGAACATCTCTGAATCAATTTTAAAAATTAGTATTTTTTTTCTTTAATTAGTTGCCAATTAATTAAACCAGTAGTGAATTTATGGCGTGTGATAATCTTAATTTTTGTTGATAGTGGAAAGTGTTTACATAACTTTTTAATTAATTATTTTAAAAAATGTTTTTTATTAATGATAAGATTAGATAATAATATACAAAAATTATATTGTTAATGTACTTAAATTAAATTAGTTTGAATAATATACTGTTTAATATTAAGCCACCAAAATTCTTTCACAACTTGTTAGTAATTTGTGCATTACACAATTGTATTGAGTTATTATTAAAAATTAATTTATTTAGTTTTAAATGTTAAAAATATTTTTAAATAAATTATTTTAAATTTTTATATATAATCATTTTAAATTATTTTTTGAAAATATTTACTTTAAATGTCTAGAAATCATAAATAGATTTTATGATAAAAAAAATAATACTAAATTTAATATGTTTTTGAAATCACCACTCTTTTAACTAAATTAGAATGAATAATATATTCTAAAATCATATTAATCGCTAAAAATATTTTTTGAGAAAAGATATTATAGACACTTTTAAAATTAATGTTTCTCACCTTCAATTAAATTTAAAATTAAATTATAAAATATTTTTAAAAAAATTATAATCAAATTATACATAATTCAATATATTTAAGAAATAATATTGTTTAATGGAAAATAATAATTTCTAAAATGATTCTCATCCAGGAACGAAGATTCAAATTTATAATATAAGAGTGGATTATAAAATTTTTATTAAATGATTAATAAAATAATTTAATGCTTAAAAATGAATTCTGCATAATTTAGAAATAAGAAAAAGACAGCAAATATTTTGTTAAGATAAATGTTGTGTATAAATTAGTGGTAACGAGTGGAATAATGAAATAATAAAGATATTTTACTATTGAAAAAATTGTATTTTTCATCTTTTAATTTAAAAAAATTATTTAATTCTTTATTTTTTAAATATTATTTAATTAATTCATTTTCATATATAAAAAAATAACGACATTCTCATTATTTGATGGCAATGTTTAGTTTGGTGGAACAGATTAGGGTCCCACCACAAATTCTTTGAATCACATTTTGAGAACAGTTTATGAGAAAGTGATGAATAGTAATAAATTAAAAGAAAAAAAAAACAAAAAGTAAACAAGTTAATAGATTTGTTAAATTTTAGTCATTTGTTTTTTTATAAAAACTGTGGGTGGGAGTACATTTTAATATTTAGATTTAAAAGTGGAACTGCAGAGTGCACTGTGTCCAATGAATATTACAATTAAAAGGGTTCGAATCCAAGCAGAAGGGACTTACTGGCACTGAAGTGGGGATGCAAACTGCGATGGCTGTCTTTTGCTAAACGCCATAAGTAGGTGACATAGCCACACATGGTGGGGGCGTAGTTCATGGGTCTCATGTGAACCAATATTATGTTAGCAGGGTTTTTTATTTAAATATATATTTTTTTGTCAAGAGTGAGTCAGTGCACATGATAATAGTTTTGTAAAAAATAGTCAACTAAACATTGAATTTTTATATTTTTTAAAACATATTTTACTATCAAAAGTACAAAATAATATATCATAATACATGTTAACATCAGTGTAATCTTATAATATAATTGACAAAAATTAATTTCGCATACGAAACTATCATATGGTCAACAAATGTAACAATCTGAATAAGTTTGACTAAAAAAACTTCATAACTTATAAGAATATGACGTGTAACATAATTTTAGTTAATTGTGTAAATAATATAATAAAAATTTTATACTATATATCTCTTTTTCATCTGTTTATTTTATATATATCTCCTCACTTGCTCACACTATATATAAGATAAATAAACTAAAACTAACCTTATAACACTCTTAAGCAATAGATGAGGAGATATATATTTTAAAAGTTTTGTCATATTATTTATGCAATGAGTTAAAATTATGATAAAACTCATTCAAATAGTGACATGTAGCGACCATATTATAGTTTTGTGATATCTACTCTGAAAGTAACTCTTAATTTTTCCGATTATATTATAAAATTACACTTATATTAATATGTGTTACGATTTTATTATTTCGCATTTTTGATAATAAAATTTATTTTAAAAAAATAAAAATTCAACACTTTTGCCAGTCACTTTAGTAAAAATATTAACATGTGATCTGACTTAGTACAAATAGAAAAATAATTTCAAAAATTAATAAATTAAGAATTTAATTTTAAATTTACAATATTTAGATAAAAAGTCCTATTATCTAAATTTTTAAACATTTTATACCCTATTTAAATTGTTATTAATTTAAACGTGATTTAAATAAAACTTAATTTAATATAATTTTATAAACTTTTCAATCTAACTTAAATTGATTTTTAGCTGTTAGGAAATAAAATATTTATTATATTAAAAATGTTTCAATCTGACTTAAATTGAACTCGTGATCGTACATAATATATAGTTATATATTTATAAAATTTTAATTTTATAAATATATACTTTTGTATTATATATGATCATGAGTTTAATTTAAGTTAAATTAAATATTTTTAATATAATAATAAAATTATAATATTTATTTTTTATAATTATCAAAATTACATTTTATTATTATTTAAGAAACATGTATTGTTATTTTAGTGTATTTAAACATTCGACTGTTCAATTCAAACTAATTTTAATTAGATTAAGTTGAGTTGGACTGATAGTATTTCAAAATGAATAATATTATATTTTAATGATTAGATTGAATGATTTTCACTTAAAATTATTTTAAATTAAATCATGAAATATTGTGAAAAGATTAACTAAAAAAATAATGTATAAATTTATTTATATTGTAGCTCAATAATTTATATATATTTATAAATAAATTATTTTATGATAAATATATTTTTATATTAAATTTAAAATACATAATTTAACAAATTTTATATTTTTAATTTAATTTTACCGTCCAACGTCTACGCAAATGCTTGTAACCTTAAAATACTTTGATGTAAATGTAGAAACTTACATTTATAATATAAAACTAAATTTTGTGTTATATTTAATGATTAATAAACAAATTAATACTTTAAATTGAAATAAATATTCTCTATATAATTAAAAAAATAACAAAAATATTATATGAGGTTGATTATGTGAATTACATAACACCATTAAATTTGATAAAAATAAATAATTTTTAATATATTATTTATTATTAATTTATAAATAATTTTTTTATTTAATTAAAAGTAATGTCAGTCACTATTTTCATTGAAGTTTCTAGTCACCTTATTTGCATTTGCAAAATCCTTTACTAGCTTATATAAAGACTATAAATTAGTTAGAAATTGATTGAAATGAATTAAACTAATACGTTAATATGTTCGATTTTTTCCCCCGGTATTATGTTATATTGTTGAATTACCAAAATGTTAATAAAATGATACCAAATAAAAAACGTTCACCTTATTTTTATTATTCTCAAATTAAAATATATGCAATGACTTTAATAATTTAATATGCACTTTTGGTTTTTTTTTTTCAGAACGATTCTATGACTATGCATTTGTGCTATTTTGGTCTTCAAAATTGTTCACATGTAAAAATTGGGCCCTTTCGTTTATATTTCCATCCAAAAGTATAATAGAATATGATTATTTCAGTAACTTTAATATGATCTAGCATTATTGAAATTATATATTTAAATAATAAATTTATGAAGAAAATGGTGTATGTGCCACTAAACAGCTTAGATAAGTACTAGGTTAATCCTTGAATCAGTTACACCTATTAAACTTTTGTCACGATATAACATTTAGAGACTGTTGCGCCTTCTTTTAAGAATAATTTTAATGTCTTTGCCGTTTGTCTTGACACTGGTCCTTTAGTTGTTCTTATCCATTAGGTTGTTAATTACTTTGAGGGACACGTATGTACCTCTTCTTTTTCTTCTTAATCATACTACTTTTTTTAATAAAAATTCCAAAATATATTAGTTACTTTCAAAAATTAAATTTTAATTTTTAAAGTTACTTTTAAATTTTAATTTTTAATAATATTTTACGAAAACAACTATTAATTATGGAATGTGTTGCACGTGGCCTGTTTGTTAAGTTCATTATTATGTTATGGTGGGCTTAAGAATTGTGATTTGATTTGATAGTTAAGATTCTTAATTTTTAAATTAGGAGGAAAAATAATCATTCTTTTTTATTTTTTTTTATTTTTTAAAGAAATTGAATCAGATGAAATATATATTTTAAGATTTTTTTCTTTTATTTTTCTCCAATAAAAATTACTGTATGTTTTAAGATTGTTAATTCGAGTAATGGTCACCAGTTTAATTAAGTAGTTGGTTCAATCCCTTACAAGTTATTGTGAGGTAAGCAGGACAACCTGTCCACACCCCTTTTTAAAATATGAATTTTATTGATTAAAAAAATAAAGGTACAGCTATAGATTTAATTTTTTAACTTTATTTTTTTATCGTATATATAATTTAAACTAAGTATAACTATTATAAATAATAAAGTTTTTCTTTCAAGTACTTTAATATAATTATATTTATTAAATTTAAATTTAAAATTACATATCTAACTAGAATAATATTCATAAGCTGATTCACATCTTCACTGATATTTTTTAACTTTATTTTGAACTAATTGATGATTTCTTTATTTTTAGTTTAATATAGCTTTTTAATTTTTTTACATATTAAATTAATTTTTTTATTATAATAATATTAAATCTTGTTGCAAATTGAATTTGAATTAGATATTTTAATTTATCTAATTTTGTGTATAGATCATTACATACAACAAAAAGTTTAAAAAAAGTTAGAAATTAGTCTTCATGACAAAAACGCATATGTATATTATAAATTAGGCTTGACCTATTTTATCAGTCTTACCCAACAAATTAGTGTCACTTTAAGTAGTCTTCCACACATGAAAAGCTTAAAAAACAATTATAATTATCTAAAGACAAGTAAATTTTTCTCCGCTTGCCTTTTTATTTATTTATTTAATTATGTTTTTGTCTTCATGATTACTACGTATAATTTTGATCGTTAAACTTTTTAAAACTAAGTTTCTTGTTTTAAATATTAAATAAATTTTATTTTTATTAGTTTTCTTCAATTTTATTTTTTTAAAATTTTTGGAACTGTATGATTGATTATATATATATAGTCAAACTTAACAAGAAGCAATAATTTGTTTGTGGGTCCCATCGAGCTAAGAAGGTAGACGATCAAGTTACAACGGTACTGTGACAAATGTTGGCAAGAAAATATTTTTAACATGTTATAAGAGTCAACTTTTAAAGCTCAAACCACTTAAATATTTCTCTGCTTTCCTTTTCTACTCACCTTATTGGTGACTTCTTACAGAGCTCCAACTTGTCTCTTTCTTTGATTTTTGACAATATATAATTAGTGAAAAGTAAAGTAACGTGAAACACGACGCAACAAAATGATCAAAATGATCATACGTAGAACCCTCACTAACGTGAACATTTTCATAAAGCGAAACAACTGTCAATAATTTATGATTATCTTCGTTGAAGCTAAGGATGGGATCAAGTTGCATTAATATATGGTGCATGTCTACCTTTGTACCCTAGCTCCTTTTAGTGAGTATGAATTTTGTTTCTATTTTTTGGAATTTTATTTCTATGACACAAAATAACAATTTTAATTTTCATACCTTTTGCTTTATATATTATTGTAATATTGACACAATAATTTCTATATAAATTTAGTTCACAATACCATTATTGCTCTTTTAGGACTTGTTTAGAAGAGTTGAAAGACAACCTGTGACTCTCATAATTTTGTCGACTTATTTTAATTTAAGACATAAATTGTCGTTTAAGGTTGTTTTTTCTTTTTTTAAATAAGTACTTAAATAAGTTCTATACCCAAAGTCACTGTGAGTCTATGTCACAATTGAAACTCTAAAGGCTCTGAGATTACTAAATATATCGATGCTGAAATATGATATGGCTCTTCATATATGCGGCAAAAGTGCAAAGGAATTGCAGGTTTTGGATTTGTAAGCATCAAACCAATTACCAAGACGTATTTACACAAAAATCAAGGCAATAATAGAGAGGGCATGATAACATCAAAGTCGTGGAAATCTAAAATTCAATATGGTGCAAAATAATAACACAAATAGATGATTATATTAATTTCAATGACTTTGACAGGATACTTTTGCATAGTATTGAGTACAAAATGTTGTTTTCTGCAACCACTTACATGAAGGAATAGTATAAGTGGGGACAACGTTGCGTTCTTCAACTGCTTACAAGAAATTGATTATCCATGTCCTTGCCTTATAAATAGACTCACATAATGTGAGGTTCCATACACCAAATCTAGCAAGCAGTTCTTGCAGCAAATTATGGAATCCCTTGATGGAGACCATGCAGCAAAACTGCTTCAAGCTCAAAGCCACATATGGAATCATATTTTTAACTTCATAAACTCAATGTCCCTTAAATGTATTATTGATTTAGGCATTCCAGATATCATGCACAACTATGGCCAACCCATGCCACTCTCAAACCTAATTGCTTCACTCCCAATCCACGCATCAAAAACCCACTTCATCCATCGCTTGATGAGAATCTTGACCCATTCTGGCTTCTTCTCTCAACATAATGTCACTGAGAATGAGCTAGAAGTGGAGTATGTGTTAACTGCTGCATCTACACTATTGGTTAAGAACCATCCCATGAGTGTCACACCTTTCGTGCTTTCCATGCTTGATCCCATTTTGACACAGACATGGAATCAATTACCTTCTTGGTTCCAAAATGATGATCCTACACCATTTGAAACGGCATATGGTACATCATTTTGGGATCGTCTTGGCCGGGAGCCAAGACTTAATACCCAATTCAATGATGGCATGGCAAGTGATGCCAGATTGGTGAGTGGTTTGGTGATTGAGAAGTGCAAATGGGTGTTCGCGGGATTGGAGTCATTGGTTGATGTTGGGGGAGGCACAGGAACTATGGCAAAGGCCATTGCCAAATCATTCCCACAGATGGAATGCATTGTATTTGATCTCCCACATGTTGTTGCTGACTTGCAAGGAAGTGAGAACCTAAAATATGTTGGAGGGAACATGTTTGAGGCAATTACTCCAGCTGATGCCGTTTTGTTGAAGGTAAAATATTGTCACATTTCATAATACAATCTTTCATTCTTACCTTAATTTCAACACAATTCATCAGTGACTGATGTCAAGTTGCAAAGAATCAAAACAAGAATTGATCAATTTGGTAAAGAATTAACGATATCATCATCATTGATCAAATTAAATAATATAGTTAACTAAGCTAGCTCTAGCGGTCTAAGTCTAATTCTAACATAAAATACAGCTAATAAACTAATCAAGCTATCATCTAAATAGCTGAAATCTGTGCACATTCCACGTATGTGTTCTAAGTAAATCATATTTAGGGGGTACTAGTTTGCAAAGTTAAGGACTAAGTAAATAAGAAGAGTATTTGACAAGGAAGGGTGTGTTTGAACCACATCAAATAGCTAAAACCCTGAAAGTTAAGTGAAAGCTATGTTGTGTAGCTTCGGCATGATCGTGAAAGTTAAACACGGAAGCAAACATGCATGAAATGTCTGTTCATTCCAGGAATAGTTATGGATCTGATCAAAATTGAATTTTTGTTAAGGATATATTGAAATTAAAAACATTATATGATGGACCAATTTTAAAAAACAATACTTAATTTTCTTTGATGATTTTGATCACTTTCTTTGATGACAAAGCAGTGGATTTTGCATGACTGGAACGATGAGGAGTGTGTAGACATATTGAAGAAATGCAAGGAGGCAATCGCGAGGAAAGGAAAAAAAGGGAAGGTGATTATCATAGACATGGTGATTGAGAATGAAAAGAGAGACTATGAATCAGTTGAAACGCAACTCTTCTTTGATATGCTGATGATGGTACTGGTCCGTGGAAAAGAGAGAAGCAAGAAAGACTGGGTCAAGTTGATTACTTCAGCTGGTTTTAGTGACTGCAAGATAACTCCAATGTTTGGATTAAGGTCTCTCATAGAGATCTATCCATAGTAATTTCTAGCCAAATCAATTGAAAAGTGAATAATACGTGCCAAGCCTCTTCATGTTGTATGTCTAGTTTGAAAACTATGTGAAATCAAATAATTTCGAACACCTTTAATTCCTATTGTTATTATAAATGGCATGTTGCTGATAAGAAAAATTACAAATGGAATGTTGATTAAGTATGGATTTCAGGGTGGAGCTTGATTGAAGGGCAGAGTGGAGCTTATCTTAGGTTGAAGAGGACACAGGTCATGATAGTTATTCACACATTTTATACAATATTTGGAATAAAAAAATTGGGTTGAGTGTGCCTTAAAAAATTAAAAGAAAATAGAATCACTACTAATAATTTTCTTTTAATAAAAAGTTAAATTCACACAATTAGACCTATTAAAGAAATGCTTTGCACTTTGAAGTTAAACTAAGAGTTAATCAGTAAGCTCGATCCACGTAAAAATGCCTATTGACTGGGAAAAAAATTCCACTTAGATGTACTAAAAGAAAAGATGTTGATCACGGTAGAAAAAGGTAAAGATTTTTAGCGTTTTTAAGAAAGATTCTCTCTGTTAATTTAGTGTTATTTTCAGAATTTAGTAAATTGATTCTTTTTTATTTAAATTTTCTTTACTTTATACACGGTAATTTTGTCTTATATAAAAAAATTGATAAATGATTATGGCTGAATAGAAAATAAATGACTGAGTATTTCTTGTTAAACAGAATACTATTAAAGTTCATAATATTGTGGGAATTTTTTTTATTGAAATGTTTTGTGAAATATATGGCAAAAAGAAAATTTATTTAATTAAATAAAATAATTTTTTTTTAAATTATTTCAAAATATTTTCTAAACAAACAAAACTTTGTTTTTGTTTGAAGGATGCAAATAAGATAAAATTTAGTTATGGTGATCTTAACATATTAATAGAGTTGAGTTGATTGATACACTAATTCTGTTTTTTTTTTTTTTTTTGGTATTTGTTGATCTTTTGACTCATTAATTACTATAATTAGCTGAAAAATATGAAGTAGGTTTAAAAATTTTCAGTCTTTTGGTCTAATTTAACCTAACTCAACTTTTAGTCGGCTAAATTTCATTTGGGTCGGAATGTGGTGTAATTTTATTGTATTTAATAAAGTCTATTTTTTTTTTATTTAGGCTAACCTTTGGTTTGAGAGTAAAAATTAAAAAAAATGTAAGATCATTTTTTCTTTCATGATGATTCAAAGCAATTACAAAGAATAAAAATGAAATTTAAGGAGAGTAATTCAGATAATCTAACTTAATCTAATCTAAAAATATAAATTATATTCATTTGTACGCAAATTCAAATTTATAATTTAAAATTAAACTGAAATAACCCTTTACTTGTTGATCTATGTACTTAGTGATAAAATTTTATCATCAACCAATAAAAATAAATTATAAATATAATATATTAATTCTTAAAAAGTAAATATTCTCTGTAAAATAATAATTTATAATTCAATAAAATTTAAAATATAATCTAATAAAATCCTAAAGTTATCCTCAATAATTATACGCAACATTTTCCAGTATCAAATGACACTAATCGAGGCCCACTAACCGAAACCCTTTTCCTATAAGACCATGCGTGCAATGGGGGAGGGTCAAAGATGGATAAGGTGATAAAAAAAAAAAATGTAAAAGCAACTGAAGGTAAGAATATAATTATTGTAAAAATATTAAAAAATATATACTTTAAATGTTTCCAAGTAAAAAAAAAAAAAAGAGCAACAATAAACAATACTTTATTTTACTAAAATACAATAAATAGCGCGGCCATGGTTACCTCCAAAATTTTTAGTTTTGTTGATTTTATCTGAAAAAAAATTGCAGCAAGAAGAAGAAATTTATTTAAATTAAATTTATTAATAATTTTTTATATTTTATTGAAATTTAACATTATTTTTTAAAAATTTAATACTTTTACTTTTTAGTAATAATATGTCAGATTGAAAGGCAAGTACGTGTCACTCTTTTTGTATCAATTAAGAAGAAGTGTGAAAAGTATTAAAAAAAGAAGAAGCAAAGACTAATTAAAAATTTTGAGGGACAAATAAATCTGTTAGATAATTATGCACATAATAGCTATTTTTTGTTTATAAGTCATATTTTCTTATTTAAATAAAACTTCTCCCCCCTCCCCTGCGTTGAGCGGGGTGCCCATAACCACGTGGCACCCACAAGAACCACAACCCAAGCCATTCAGTACACTGCTGGACCATCCTGTGGCAGCAGAGGATATCAACTCTAAATAACAACGTGAAAGTGAACAAAAAGTGTTCTTCAATAATACACCCACTAACCTAAACCCTCAACTAATCTTAACAGGATTAGGGGTCTTTCTATTTCCATGTAAGATGTGAGTTTCCCAATCTAGCAACTACTTCATGCAGCAAATTATGGAATCCAATGATGGAGATGGTGCTGCCAAACTGCTTCGAGCTCAAACCCACATATGGAATCACATTTTTGACTTCATAAATTCCATGTCCCTTAAATGTGCTGTCGATTTAGGAATACCAGATATCATACACAACTATGGTCAACCCATGCCACTTTCAAATCTCCTTGCTTCACTACCCATCCACCCTTCAAAAACCCACTTCATCCCTCGCTTGATGCGAATCTTGACCCATTCTGGCTTCTTCTCTCAACACAGTGACACTGAGAATGAGCTTCAGGTAAAGTATGTGCTAACTGATGAATCTATGCTATTGCTTAAGAACCATCCCATGAGTGTCACTCCTTTCTTGCATGCCATGCTTAATCCCATTTTCACAACTCCATGGAATCAATTTTCTACTTGGTTCCAAAATGATGATCCTACACCATTTGAAACAACACACGGGATGTTGTTTTGGAATTGTGTTGCCCGTGACCCAAAACTTAATACCCAATTCAATGATGCCATGGCTACTGATAATCAATTGCTGAGTAGTTTGGTGATTGAGAAGTGCAAAGGGGTGTTCGACGGATTGCAGTCATTGGTTGATGTTGGGGGAGGTGCAGGGACTTTGGCAATGGGCATTGCCAAATCATTCCCACAGATGGAATGCATTGTATTAGATCTACCACATGTTGTTGCTGACTTGCAAGGAAGTGAGAACCTTAGATATGTTGGAGGGAACATGTTTGAGGCAATTCCTCCAGCTGATGCCGTTTTGTTGAAGGTAAAATATTGTCAAATTTCATGGTACAATCTTACATTTTTAAAAGCCTTAATTTCAGCACAATTTATACTTGACTTATGTCAAGGTACAAAGAATCAAAGCAATGATTGATCAATTTGGTAAAGAATTCATGATATCATCATCATTGATAAAATTAAATAGTGTATAGCAAACTAAGGTAGCACTAGGGGCCTAAGTCTAACTGGCAACGGTAACATCAAATACGACCAAATAATGCTAACATAAAATACAGCTAATTAACTAATCAAGATATCATCTAAATAGCTGACAAGTGTGAACATTCCTCCAATGTGGTCTAACTGCAGAAGCATAGTTAGGGGTATTAGTAAACATAGTTAAGGGCTAAGTATAGAAGCATGATTATTTGATTGGTAAGGGTGTGTTTGTTACCACATTAAATAGCTAAAAATACGTGCATTAAATGAATGCTATCTTGGGTAGCTTCTGTCTGAACCAACGAGAAAGCAAACATGCACTGAATCTCTGCTCATTCTAGTAAACAGTTATAGATCTCTTCACATTTTAATTTTTGTGGAATATTGAGTATATATTGAAATGAAAAACGTTACATGGGCCTATTTTACTGAGCTTAACATGAATCAATAGCAAGTCAATGTTTAATTTCCTTTGACAATTTTGATCACTGTTATACTTTGAATGACAAAGCAGTGGATATTGCATGCCTATAATGATAAGGAGTGTGTGGACATTTTGAAGAAAAGCAAGGAGGCAATCGAGAGGAGAGGCAACAAAGGGAAGGTGATTATCATAGACATGGTGATGGATAATGAAAAGAGAGATGATGAATCAGTTGAAACACAACTCTTCTTTGATATGCTGATGATGGTGTTGGCCCCTGGAAAAGAGAGAAACAAGAAAGAATGGGTCAAGTTGATTACTTCAGCTGGTTTCAGTGACTACAAGATAACTCCAGTTTTTGGTCTAAGGTCTCTCATAGAGATCTATCCATAGTAATTTCTAGCCTAATCAATTGAAAAGTGAATAAAATGGGGCCAGCACTCTGCATCGATTCATGTATACAATGTCAGGCCCTTGATTTATGATTTGTCAGAGAACCTTTAATATGTAACAATAACAATGTCTTGAGTGTAATATGAAAACTATGTGCAATCAAATTATTTGGAAACACCTTTAACTCTTATTCTTATTGCAAACGGAATGTTGATATTTTCCAGGCTGGAGCTTGATTGAAGGGCAGAGTAAGAGGGCACAAAGCAATTTCGTTATTCGTAATCAAGACATTTTACACAATTCTTAATTGCAAACTTCGTAGCTTTCTAGTTTATGGTATAACCTATGGATGTCTAGATATTCCTACGCAGGTGAAAAATAGGATGATCGATCTTGAGTCGGTGCATGTGGAATATCTTACTGATTCGTTATGCATGTAAGTTTAAATTTATTTGTTGATTACTGTTTAGTTTGGTCTCTTCTACGTTAAGTTTCTATCAAGTTAATATTATCTTCGTAAGTCGGTGATGAATACAACATACATTGCCTAATCATTAGTGGATCATGATGTGTGGCCAAATGGTTGGTCATTATAGACCTATACATCTGGTAATACATTAAAATAGATGGATAATAAATTTATATATTTTTATATACAACGAAATTACTTTTTTACAAATCTTTTTTGCTAAACTTTCTCTTATTATCAGATGAATAAAGCTTTGAGTGTTATCTGATTAAGGGTAGTCATTAGTTCAGATACAGTTTTGTTGCACGTGGCTTGGAGTTGTATGATTAAATGGCAAGTATTGAAGGTAATGAATGTAATATTATACACTTGTTACACTTTTTGCAGACATTGACTGGGATTTCTTGCTTCAATTCTAAGCATGTATGCTTCTTCATGAATTAGAACATGCTCTTTAATCTCTTTAAACACTAATTTCTTTAATGCTCTCTTTTAAGTTTTTTTTTTTAGTAGATTTTTTAATTTATTTTTTAAATGTTGGCCTATTTTTAAGATGAGCTATGGATAATTCATCTTCTTTTTGAGTTTTACTTCATACCTGTTCTCTTTTTTTTTCCATATAATTTTCTATTTGATATAGGTTCACTTTAGATAAATTTTGAAACAACTTCTTACAAGAAAAAAAATTAGTATAAAAAATAAATAATTTTTTTCCTATAAATTAAAAACAAATTATACTTATCTATTTTTTAGAACTTCTGAGAAATTTTTTCATTTAATTTTTTAAAAATTTAAAGAGATAAATTATTTTTAGCTTATGAAAATTATTTATTTATTTTTATACTAATTCTTTTAATCTACAAAGACTCTAGAGAAACTGGGTTATACTTAAACTTTTTGTTTTTAATTTTTGAGTTCTCTCTTGTGTTTTAATTTAACTTATATATATATATATATATATATATATATATATATATATATATATTCATAAAAGCACTGCATAACTATATTTTTATTAGTCATATCATTATTTTAAAATATTATGTGTTTTTATTTTAATATTTACCATTGAAATAAAATCTAACAATTTTGTTTGTTCTTATTCTTACAATAATTAAATATTTTTATTGGATTCGTTCCCTTTGTAAACGAAGAAATAATTTGAATCGATGAAAGTTACCTTCACTCTTTAATTGCTTTTAATAAATTTTTTGGTGAATAATTTTTAACTTAAAAATTCTTATCTTATAACTTTGTAAAATTTTAAAACTAATCTAAAATAATTTGATGCCCCATATATATCATAATTAATATATTATATATTAATAATAAAAAATTTAATATTTTTTAGTTTATAAAATTCATTAAATTTAAAAATAATAATTTAATATATGTTTAATTTAATATATGGCATTTGAATAATTTGATATTAATTTATATTTATTTAAAAATTTATATGAAAAGTTACTAAACATGTGTAGAATATAAGCATGTATAAAATATAATGTAAAAAAAAATAGAAAAGAGTTATAATAATATAAAAAATTTGACTTTAACATAATAATATTCTCTGTAATAGTGAAATATTTGATTTTATTAAGTATTATTTTTAAAAGTGACTTACAGTATATCTTTTGAAAAGATTAATTATATATGTGAATTGAATTAATAATTTTTTAATATGAATTATTAATTTTCTTGTACTTTAAATTTGTTCTTAATAAAATATTAATGTTTAATAAATATAAAAATTAATAAATAAAAAAATATTTTAATTTGATAATATTTACTAAGTATTTACACATTATCAATAACATTATAAATGAAACCATATGCATTGCTAATTTAGTCATTGACAAATAATTGTCGTCTACTAACAAATAATTTTGTTATTTGAATAATTAATGAGTGTGTCTATATATATATATATATATATATATATATATATATATATATATATATATAAAATCAAAAGTACAATAAAAAATTATCAATTAAAAATGATTAATTTTTAATGTACTGTTAATATATATTTTTTACATTAGCAACTAACAAGAATATATCATAGATATAGTTTAAAAAATATTTTTTTTTTTGTCTTTAAGACTGAGTGTAATAACTCAAAAGTAATTTTTTTTATTAAAAATAATATATTTATTATATTAAAGTTATAAAAGTGTGATAATTTTTTAATAAAATTTTATTATTATTAGTGATTTAAATCAATTATAAAAACTGATGATATTAATATTTTTAGTATTAATTATTATAAAATTAATATTTTTACTAATATAATAATTTATAATTAAACAATAATATAAAATATAGTCTGATCAAATTCTAAAAGTTGACTCAATAGTTATACAAACATTTTCTAATAATAGATACATTAGTTTAGTACCACAAATCAATACCCTTTTCTAAATCATCATGTGTATAGTGACAAAAGGACTAAGTTAAATAAGGTGACACAAAAGAAAGAAAAAAATAAAAAATAATTAAATATAAGTTAAATTGTATATTTAATTTTTATATTTGATATTTACTTATAAATTATTCGTTATACTTAGAAAAGTTACATTTTACAAAATGTTTTGTTTAATTTATATTTTAGTTTTTACCTTTATAACATTGTTAATCGTAGAAATAATCAAAATATTATTAAATATTTATAAAGTATTATTTAATTATTTTAATAATTAATTTATTAAAATATAATTAATTATTTACAATAATTAAATTATAAATATTAAAATAAATAACAATTTAATTGTAATAGAAGTAATATATTATATATACTATTTCTAATATTTAAATAAATAAAATACTAAAATGATATATATGATATATGACTCATATACGAATATGTCTTGAAATTATATATTTTATTTTATTTTATTTAAAAATAAAAAAACCCTAAATTAATAACTTTGTAAAATGCGATAATGTACCTTGAAATTATTTATTGGGAATGGAATGGTACCGTTGTCACATCATATTGCTTATTAACAACTGTTGTGTTTGGTACTGTGTTGTTTTACTTTTTCGCAACGAATCATATTTTGTTTTTTTTGTTTTTTTTTTATAAATGAAGGCTCAAGACAGCCTAAGTTGAAGGCATTCCAAACATTTGAGTGTAACACGCCCAATTAAAGTATAAAGGAAGCGTAGGTACTACGGATTCGGATTATCTCCGGTTTGCGTGAGAATGTACCTTAAACGTTTAAGCGATTTTAATTTAATTTAAAAAAATACAAAAAGTGATAAATTTTCTTTATACAAAATTAGTTTAAAAGAATGTTTTTAACATAAACAAATTATTTTAATTTAAACGAATGTTATATATTTAAAGAAATAAAAGTTGAATGTAAAAAAAAGAGAAGACGAAAAATGAATATAGATAAAAGGAGCATAGGGAGAGAAAGAGAAAAGTGAAGAGTTGAATATAGAAAAAAAAAAAAGATAAAGAAATTGGTATTGAGTGAAGTGAGAATGAGAAAAGGAAGAGAAAGAGGAAGAGATGAGTTAAATATGAGGTTGAAAGAAAACAGAGTTAAAGAAAAAATGAATAGTTATATATAAAAGAAAAAAAAATTAAATATGAAAGTTAAAGGGGTTAAATATAGAAGTTGAAAAGAAAATATTAAGTTTAAAAAGAAAAAAAAAATTGAGTGAAAATTAAAACTCTGTTAATTTTTTGCTTAAATCTATTATTTTTACTTAAACTATTTTTTGTTTATTTTTTTTTTCTTAAGTTATTTGTTTAATAAAAATTAGTTTAAACTATTTTGTCATAAACTTAATCGAATGAACTGAAAGTCTAATTTTTGCACAAACTGATGATAATCTGGATCCGGGTCTACACCAAGTAAATTCAATGAATTATATCTAAATATGTAGCATAAAGATTTCTTATGAAGACAAGTGTAAACACAATCAATCATTAAATCTTGTACTTAGAAATTTAAATTATTTTTTATAAGTATTTGTTAAAAAGTTTACTTAAGTTAACTTCATATATGTTTTTAATTTAAATTTTTTATTGTTACATTTTTACAAAATTTTAACTTTACTTCCTAATTTTTATTTTATTTTAGTCTTATTTTTTAAACTTTAACACTTCCGATCTCCAGTAATAAGGTGCTTAAAACTTTCGTGCCAGATCAATAAAAATACTGAATTTAAAATAATTGAAGACTAGAATTTTAAAAATGGGAGAGGCTGAAATAAAAATCTTACAAAAATATACAAAAATATATTTAAAACTAGATTTTATTAACTAAATATTAAATTTGTAGCATAAGTCTTATATTCTTTAATTTTGATTCTCCTTAAATAAAAAATCTCCCTGCCCCAACCCCACGTCGCGCGTACCAGAACCACATGCATCCCCATCGATACACAATCGTTATCTTATCCAAATCTACATTCACACAAAATACCCGATGCAAGGCAACGAAGAGAGTTTATCAATAATGCACCCACTAAGCTATGCTACAACTTTTCACGAACACAGTACCAACGTATGTGTCTATCATTAATTGGACAATATCAAATCAAGAAAATTTTAATAAGATGTTTGATAGAAATTAACAAAGTCATTTCATTTACAATTTTTGTATAGTCATGAATTCGTACTATTCGGCATTCTGGTAAACAATATATAACAACTTTATTTCACTCCCCAATCCTAGTTGTTAACTACGAGTTTACATTAATAAACTAACGGGAGAACGTAAACACATTAACAC